CGTAAAACGTAAAACAAAAAATAAATGATCGGGTTGTTGAAGGGTGCCAGATGAGCCCTACCTCTTTGCTATCCCTCTGTTATTATCAAGCTGAACAACGGGGCGGAGGACGTTCCTGGTTCTTTTTGTGGAGTTTTCAAGGCTCTCAACCTATACGTTCTTATGAGCGTCTAGCTCTCAACCCATTTGGATCGGTCTTATTGGAGAAAGACGTTGAATTAGAAGGTCTATCCTCACACATTACCCATTACCTAACAGTGTTATATTGGTTGTTAAGCACATACGCTTACTTGCAGACAAAACTTTGGAAAGAACCCCCCCCCACCCCCCAAAGAAACCAAACGACTACAACCCCCCCTCCCCCTCCCCCACCAAAAAACCCAGTGTGTGATAGTAGTTATTATCTTCCCATTTCTTTCTCATTCGTTCACTCACTTTTTTTTATACCTTTTCTTTATATTATTTTTTTGGTTAAATATTCCCCCTTGTCAATTCCTGTCAAATGAAGCTTTTGTGTTCTGTAGACAGTATTGGTGTGTCTCTGTGCCCCGACAGTGTGAGATTTTTGTCATTTCCCACCATGCCATAATTATATTGGAAGGAGTATAGTACAACCCTGCAAGTTATTTATTCTCGTGATGTCCCGCATTCGCCCACAGTGGCGTCGGTCGTCTAGTGGTTAGGCTACCGGACCCGTAATCATGACATTGCGGGTTCGCGGGTTCGGGGGTTCGAGCCTCAGCTTGGCCCATCGTTGTGTCCTTGGGAAACTCCAGGCAATTTACACGAGTTTCCCATTTGACAAGGTCCTTTCGGAGATGGACTAAAAAACAACCTCGGAGGTCCCGCTCTTTTTAATAACCCAATAGTGTTGATAGTGGGGTTAAACCTATACCAATTCACCAACTTAAAAAACTTACCATTTCACCATTTCACTAACTTAAAAACTTACCATTTCACCATTTCACTAACTTTAAAAAACTTACCATTTCACTAACTTAAAAAACTTACTATTTCACCATTTCACTAACTTAAAAAAGCTTACAATTTCACTAACTTTTAAAAACTTACCATTTCACCATTTCACTATCTTAAAAAAAGCTTACCATTTCACTAACTTAAAAAAACTTACCATTTCACCATTTGTTTCTTGGTCCACAGAGAAGATCGAGCAGACCGTGAAGATCGACGCGTCCACCGTGGAGATAGAGGAGCGCGGCGTGAAGCTGAGGCTTACCGTGGTCGACACGCCGGGCTTCGGAGACTCGCTCAACTCTGTAGACTGGTAGGCACCGTTGTTGTTTTTATATATATGTATCATTGTCGTGTTGTTATCGTTGTCGTTGCCGTTGTCGTCGTCATCATCATCATCATCATCGTCGTCGTCGTCGCCTTCGTTGTAATTATTGCCATCCTCTCTTTTTCCCCTTTCCTCTTTTTTCTACCATTTTCACTTCCTCATTCTGTCTTTCTCTCACTCGTTCTTTTATCCCCCCACCCTCACTCCTTCTGTCCCCCTTCTCTCTCTCTCTCTCTCTCTCTCTCTCTCTCTCTCTCTCTCTCTCTCTCTCTAGTTGTCGATTTACTCTCTGACACGATTGCCCGTACACGCCCACACATACACATCTCTCTTTTCTCCTCCCCCCCCCCACACACACACGCGCACACATGTGCTCCCTCCTCTACATTTTACAATCATTACGTCTTTAATGATAAATTCAATCACTCTCTCACACTCCCTCCCTCATTCCCTCACCCTCCTGTACATATACACTCGTTACGCCTTTAATGATAAATTCATCCTGTCTCGTCATCCCTCCCTCATTCCCACCCACACGAACCCTCACCCTCCTCTACATATACAATCATTACGTCTTCAATGATAAATGCACCCCCTCCCTTCTCTCTCTCTGTCTCTGTCTCTGTCTCTCTTTCTGTCTCGCTCTCTCTCTCTCTCTCTCTCT